AGTCCGAACGGCATCACAAGGAACTCATAATGCCCTTCATGTGTCCTGAAAGTCGTTTTGTACACATCATCACTTAATGGTATCTCGATTTCAAATCCAATTTCAAAAAGAATGTCGCTCCATGCAACTCATCCAATAACTCTTCGATCACCGGTATAGGAAATTTGTCAGGTACCGTGATCTTATTTAGAGCGCGATAATCAATGCACATTCGCCATGTGCAGTCCTTCTTCACCAAACATAGCCCCTTTTACTTCCTTTCGATCAACTCATTGTAAGACAAATGTTTGAAACCCCTGTCACGAGGCCCAGTACATTTCTTTTCATTTTGGGCCTGTTTGTCTCCTTTGAGCCCACTTACTCCACTCTTGACACCCCCATGCGGCCCAACATCTCTCCCACTTATCATGACCCAGTCAGATACAGCTTTCCTTCCTGATGACTCATTATAAGCTGGGTTATACCCAAATCTAGGCCCACGATGAAAGCCTGAATTGTTTCCTCCTTTCACCTTTCTCTCAACAGCTCTTGTGACTTGGAGCAATTTTGTTCTGTTCATCTCCCCCATTGCCACCAAGCTAGTACCTTCCCCCTAATCTCTACCTTCAACCCATGTAAGAAATACCCACAAAACTGTTTCTCCAGACCTTTCGTATCTGAGTCGTTAGGTATTCAAGCTCAGTGATGTATTCCTCAATTGTTCCCTCTTGCTTCAATTTCGTCAACTGCTCATAAACATCACGCTCACTGTGTCCTCCATACCTCTCCAACAATGCCTCCTTCAACGCTTCCCATGTCAACCCTTCTTCCTCCCCGATCAAGGAATTGAAAAAATGAATCGTTGTTCCCTCCATACACAGTTGAGCCAAACTCACTTTCATCTCTGGTATAGTGTCTTGAACGCGGAAATACACTTCAGCACGTGAGATCCATCCCGCTGGATCCTCACCAGCAAACGCCGACAGTTCCACCTTCTTAACGGACTGGCGATACTCTGTCAAAGCATCTCCATGAGGGTTGTTGACAATCGTACTCTTCGGCATACCTTTACCAGAAACGCTCGCGTCTCCTTCATCCACAGTCAACGACTTGCCCAAACATTTCTCCAGCATTGCTATCAAATTAGCATGGTTTGTCGTCACTGAGTTCTGCACCTCGACGAGAGTTGAACGCACCTCGACGAGAGTTGAACGCACCTCGACGAGAGTTGAACGCACCTCTGTGATCTCACTCTCTAAAGCTTCGACCCTAGCTTCCATCTTTGTGAACGCCGGTAACGTCACCTTCTTAGGTGGCATTCACTGGCTCCGTCGTCGAAATTCGACAGGTCGGACCACTTGATAGGAACCAAAAAACAAAATGCAAGAGAATAACAGTACAAGCAAACAACAGAGGAAAAGAGAGCTTTATTATACTAAGTAGAAATGGAAACAGATACAGAAAAGGGAATGTAACCCTAGATCTGACAAGAGCTAGGCTCCTAATAGGAAGCTATAGATCCCTATGCATACTAGTATATCACTATAATCCAAGGTAAGATCTACATTCTCTCTCTGGTTCCTTATATTGTGGAAATGGAATGCAAGGTGCTCTCCTCACTCAAGCCACGTCACAATATTGTAACTAACTAGCCACCAATTCCCTTCTTACCCTTCCTTCTAGAATAAACTTTCCACTCTTGGGGTCCACTTGATTCCTTGTAAATCAGCTGCTCACGTGGCAATTCTTTCTCAACTAATTGGGTCCTATCATCTACAAACAACCTTGGTAATGTAAGCGTTTAGCTAATAAGCGTTTTCATTTTTTAGTACAGACAGGATATAATAAATTTCAACACTATAATATTGTAATAATGGAATTAATTAATATTCAAGTTTCTATTTTTTATATCGAAGAAAACAGATGAAGAGATGAAAAATACAAGCACAAATCCTGATTTTAAATAAATCATCAAAATTCCTATCATAACATGATTATCATCCCCACGTGTGACCAAACCTACTTCTTAATGATGGCACCATTAACAGTTTCTAGAATTCCATTTAGCTAGAGTAGTTTGCAAATAAAGTGAGATCGGACAGTAGGCCTAAGGTTTATATGAGGAACCAAAAAGGTGTGGCTCACGTGATCCACTTAAATGGTACATTGCACCTGATCGGAATTAGAAGTGAGTGTGTTAAATAAGTGCCTGGCTGAAAAGAGAAAGGTGATGTTGATAACATGATGCAACAGGGTGCTTCTAGAAGAGAAGAAATATGTTCTAGGGAGAAGCAGACTAGCTGTGGAAGAAAGGAAATGATGGAAACACAGGGAAGCAGCCTGGGAAGGACTAATATAGAGTCAAGCAGAAGCAGGGTGGTCACACGGGCGGGGTCTTGAGCAAAGGGGCATCAATTTGCCAGCAACCAAACTCCCTGATGGAGTTAATAGGGAGAGGAATCCCTTTAGGAGAAGGCAATCAGAATTAGAATTGCATCTTATATAGCTAGTGACAGTTATAGTGCACATTGGAGCGGGTTTATGTAGTGTGAAAGACTTGGCATCCCGAATTGCCGAGCACTATCACACTGTTTCTGCCATTTTCCTAATTTTTTAGCAATTTCATTAGGTAAATCAGTGGTTCTCGGCCTGATATCTAATATATTCAGGCCTACTGTTCCATATAACTATGATTAAATCCTGTTCTATCTTCTATCTTTCTTATATCTTCTATCAGTAGTTTTACTAGAAAAATGCATTCTCCTCTAACTTGAAATCAATGTCTTAAGCATACTTCCCCTAATTATATCAAGTTCAGTAAAGGATATGATGGTTATTGTAAAGAGAATATAAAGGATAAGTGACTATGAATTGTGAAGAAAAAAGGTGCCAATAGCAGAGTAGCCCCAAACTGCTACAGAACATGCAGTAGTGGGGTAGTTCAATGTAGAAGCCATGGCACAGCGGTCATTATAGCTGGCAAATAGCAGATGTTGTGGAATTTGGCTATTAAGCAACACTAGAACACATTTGGGCTTCCCTTCACTCAATATGTCTCACCCGCGCTGTCATTTTTCACTTTTCACCTTCTCGCTGGTCAGCAACAGCAAGTTATTGAGTTTTTATGCATACAGCATAAATTCGGCAGTTGGTGGGTTTGGGCCCATAAACCCTAATCCAACCCAACCCGGGAAGACTTATACCATACCCAATTTTGTTCAGTTGCCACTTCGGTTTGGCGTGTTGCGGTTTGGCTGGTCACTTGGTTGGATTTTGACAGGTTGGGCCAACAGTGGATTAGGTTTGTTTTTTTAAACAGAACATGAAAAAAAATAACATGTTAACCATAAGAGGAAGGGTTTTGACTCCCTAAAAAAGAGGCTGTCACAGGTGCAACACCACCCAGATAGGGATAGAAAGGAGTTCATGTTGACTCTAAGGGGAGAGGCGTGCATGATGGATGCACTATGTCTATGTGGGTGCATTAAACCTCCAACAATTAGCATCGTGTGATGGAGGCGAAGACCACCTTTAACAGAATACATGGAGCATGAGGGACTGGTACTAGAGTAGCACCATTCATGGAGGCTGGTAGTACCACATCCTCTCTTATCTTTTCGGTTCTGCTACTTCTACTATCTTGACTATAGTGTTGGAAATTCCGCTTTTCAACATTTGGATTGTCTTCATTGCAGCCTCCAACACCCCCATTGTGTTGGGGGTAAGGGTGGATTTAGTCCCACATTGTCAAGATATGTGGTTATGCAGTGTTCATAAAGCTTGGGCAGCCCTCACTTTACAAGTCGGTTTTGTAAGGATGAGTTAGGATCAACTAAACATTATGGTATTACGGTCTATCCTAGATTTTTTGTTGGGCTTTTCATATTGTCTAGACTTCAAGCTCATCAGAACCCGAGCATGACGGGTGTGGTGATGGAAATTCCAATTCCATCACAGTCTACTCCTAGCCGCCTAATTGCAGCATTTGGGTTGCCTTCATTTGCAGCCCCCTCCAATTCAACACATTCATTGTGTTTGGTGTGAAGGGGTGGATTTAGTCCCACATTGCCTAGAGATATGGCATGTGCAGTGTTTATAAAGTTTGGGCAGCCCTCACCTTACAAACTGATTTTGTTTGGATGAGTTAGGTCCAACTCAAATTCTAAGATATTTCTCTATTTATAGACAGATGAATAAATGATGGGAGACCAAACACTAATAAAATATTTAAGTACCAACTGTCAATAAAGCATCAGCAACGTACATGTACCAATGAGAGAGATGAAACTAGAGGTGCAAATAACAGTAAAAGGCTGGAGGCTGAGCTTTCAGGGAAGTCAAATCAGACTAGAGTGATTTTTACTTTTAAGTATTCGTCTTCAAATAATGTAGTGCTGATTGGTTACCGGTCACTGCTAGATTGAATTGCCTGAAACTGAGCCCAGCCATTTCAATCCATTCTTACTCAATATTTAAAAACCATTGGCCAGAGACCCATTTTTACCCGCCCATTCACGCAAAACTGTAAACAAGTAGTATGGTTTCAGTCTGACTATGAAACCTTGTTCGCCCCTAGTAAAATTATATAAACTGTTTAAAATTTCAAAATAAGGGTCATCCTCCTATCTGCTATCTCTCTATGGAGTTTAATGGGTCAGTTATTATACATAAATGATAACACGGGAAGAAAGTAGATGATGAGATTACATGGGAGAATAAGGAAGGGTATATGAGAAATAGGACAGAGAACAAAATGAGATTCAGTTGTTATCCAGAATTGATAACACAGGAAGAAAGTAGATGATGAGATTACATGGGAGAACAAGGAAGGGTATATGAGAAATAGGGAAGAGAGAACAAAATAAGATTATGTTCAGCAACAAAGGTAACATGATGCGCCCAATATTTGGTTTAAGGTGCAGCTTAAGGTTACCATAGGAAGTCTAAGTTTTAAGTTTATATTTGAAATTCATGTAGTGTTGTGCTTTATCAAATTTACAAAACCTGAAAAGACAGGAGACTTACTTGTATAAGTAGGCAGCAATACCCAGAATTATAATCAACAAAACAATATCAATACAGAAGTTTCGACTGGATCGAAGCTGGATAAAAACCAAAAATCATATAAGATTCGGAAACAAATTTATCACCAATAAAAATTGAAATAAATGGAAATCTAAGACCAAACAAGTTGTAGTTAGATAACCTGATTCACCGTGTCTTTAAGTCTAACATTAGTATTCTTAAGATCAGATGATGCCCTGTCCACCTGTAAAGATGACACAATTGCATCATATTTTTCAACTTTTTTAACAAACTTCAAAAGCATAAATTTCACTGCTTTCAGGCTTTGTTATAAGTACTAAAGAATATGCAAAAATTGAAAAATATCACCTTGGTGTCGATCTCATCCATCAAGGGAACTTGTCTATCCAGTTCCTGCATTTATCATATAAATGAAGTATTACAAACACGCAGCCGCGTGAGGGAACACATGAGGGAACACGTAAAAAGTAAACGACAACCGACCTCATTCATATCATGTGCCATGTCTTTCAAAGTATCCAATCCTTCTGCAATCATATCCAAACCTTGATCCTAAAAAGTTAACATCCAATAATTTCGAAGTTGAAACTATTGCAGGAGTACTAATAATGAACACAGCAAACCTCACAAAACTACTAAAAGTTACTTGCCTGTTTTATTCTCCGCATTTCATATTCCTGTCTGAATTGACTTGACTGCTCAGTTGATTTGAAGTATTCATCATCAAATCGGCCATCTGTAATCAACATGACTCAATTATACACACATAATGAATGAATCTGATCCTTAACCCCCAAAGGAAACACAATAAACGCTATAGCCACTAACGAGAGACACACATAGCTTCGATTACCCGAATCAAATTTAATCTCAGCGCGTGAGGCAGAAGAAGCTGCCCAGCCACCAGTTTGTTTTGGTGCAACAGGAGTCCCGTCCGGGATAGCTTGGATTCTTTCCGGTAATGCAAGAACCAGATCATTCCGGGCAGCAAATTCTTGCGACGAAAGCCCTTTTACCTATCAATACATTAAATCATAAATCATTCAAATATACATTCACTAAATTAAAACCATTACATCCTATTAAGCTACTCAGATCAAAATAAATAAACAAACAATTAAACATTGCAGAAAACACAAACAAAATTGTTGAGAACTAAAAGAACAACCTTTTTGACAGCCAACCTCTGCAACTTAGGAACTTCCTCCAACAACCGAGACTTCGTCCGACGAATCTCTGCATTGATCGCTACAGCAGAAGCCTTCCCTTTCTCCTTGGAAGCGGTTTCTGCTTTCTACACCCAAAAAAAAATCAAAAAATAAAAACAATTGAGTCCGTTTACCATTAGAAAACAAAAATTAGGGCACGATTTTGTGGTTTTTTGAAGAGGCTACCTGAAGTAGGTTATCGATGTCGGAGTCAACGGAGGCGTAGAGTCTGACGAAAGCGTCGTCGCCGGTGACATTGGCATCCTTGTTCTTGTCAAGGTCGTATTTGTCGTACTTTTTGCAAATGGAATCGACTCGTGTTAGAAGGTCGATGACGCTCATGGTGGTTGTGGTGGTGTTTTGGGATCAAAATTGGATCTTGACTAGAGTCAACAAGAAGAAGTGGTGAATTGGGAGTTCGATCTGCTTGTTTCAGTTCTCAACTCAAGAGAACTTCAGATGAGAGAGAGAGAGAATGAGAGACCGTGCTTTAATTTTAATTTTTTAAATAAATTAAAAATATTTATATTTTGGACAAATAACTTTCCCAACATTATTTATGAAATACTATAATACTACAAAATCAAATTTTATAAAATATATTTTTGTATAAAAACTTGTTTGGATTGAATTTAATATTTTATTTCTTAAATAAAATTTAATCACATATGTTTATTTAAATACTTGTTTGTTTTTGAAAAAAAAATGTAGTAATTAAGTAAAATCGAAGAAAACTTTAGGTTTAATTAAAGAATGGATATAGTTAGGGATGTCAATGGAGCATAATGTTGGAAGGATATTTTTTCGTTCTTTGTCCCGTCTTTTAAATTTTTTCTCATCCTCGTCTCTGATCCCCGTCACAGAGAAATATTGTTTCTCATACCATTCCCATAGATCTCCACGGAGATCAAATTTTAAAAAAAATTATGTGTGAGTGTGACAAATCCACGAGTATCGGGTTCATTCACACTCATCACGAAAACATAACCATTAATATATTAATCGAATAAAAAACATGTTACTGATGGAAGTAAAGTGAATTTAAAGAGTAATTACCATAACTTCAATGAACAATGAGAATGGTCGTTGTGATGATGATGAGAACATATGAGATTATGAATGGAGACGACAAAGAAAATCGAGAAAAGAAAAGGAGGGGATGTTGTGTATATTGTATGTATTGGGTGTACTTTCCTAGAATTTGGTAATTGAATAGTGGAACAATATAATATACAATAAAACAAAAAATAATGTATTAATGACTCATCATTTTCTAATATATTAATATTTTTTATAAATATCATGTAAAATTATAGATTATAATTATATAATACATAAAATATAAAAGTTAAATAATATGGTCGGGGTTGGGAAATCTGTGAGACGGATGGTACTTCCCCGATCCCCACCATAAAGTGTCATCGGGAGAATTTTTCCCTCTATCTATGTTTTCACAGGGGAAAAAACCTCCAACTTCAGAACTCTGAATAGATAACCCTCACGGGGATCCCTGTTAACAGGTACAAATTGACATCCCTAGTGTAATACGGTGGGAGAAATGACTTTAAGATTTTGCGTTTTATCGCAAATGTTGCAGATAACAAGAGTCACCATCGACTTTTCTTTTATCCAATAAAGGAATGGGTGAGAAGAATAGAAAAGACCTTTTGAGAATTTTCTGAGTAAGGGGGGTAGGTTATGAAAAGGAAAGGTGTTAGCACCCTTTTCATCCGTAGTTATCTACGGGCTCTTAATCGCTAGCTCACTTTTTGGAAAATGCTTTGTGCTTGTGTATGTTTGAAAATATTTTGAAAATGCCTAAAGGCAACAGTTTTGTAATGATTCCCGTATCGTTGAGAATGTATACAAAATGTTCGTTTCGAAAATACTTGTGAAAGAAAATGTTGTTTTGTGAAAAGATATTTTGTTTTGAAAAGTTTGTGAGCAAGCGACTATGAGCGTTCTACCTACTCAAATAAGTCTTTATTCTTTTCCTCCTCCTTTAGATGGTATTACCCTACCATTAGTTAGTAGGAAGCCATATCGTTGAATGTGAGGGACAGACGCGAGTCATCGTGCAATCATAGAAGGCAACTTGTAGGATGCTTTAGCAATTGTCGTAAGAGATTAAGATCGTTTACCGAAGGCAGCATCAAATGGTCATCGAGGAACTACGATCTTTTAACGGGGGGTCTTTGCTAAAGTGCCCCATGTTCGAGGGACATGACTGCTTAAATCTGAGGTAACAAGTAAGGGTTACCCTATAGATATGTGTGTGCGAAGTATTTTGATTTCAAGTATTTATCTTGAGATTAGGTTTTCTAACGTTTGTTTTTTATGTCTTACCATGCACGCCTAATTAATCTAGCAGTTAAATATATCCAAGTGCGAAAAATAAAAAATGCGGAAAATAATCTACGTTATTACATCGTTTTAGGGATGGGGAGTACAAAGCATAAACTGGGGAAGAAAGCAATAAACCCTAATTATCTATTACAAACTTTTAAACAATTACAATATTGGGAAATAGTGTGAAAAAGTAACTGAGCGCGCGGAGATTGAAAAGGGAAAAGATGTAAAAAAAAATCCTAAAATATTTCTAAGCCTTTAAGAAAATATTTTTGATGTTTTATTTAGAAAAATATTTAAAATGTAAAATAAAAATAAATCTAATTCTAATTAATTTATTAGTTAGTTAATAAATGAAACTAAAATATAATTAAGTTAATTAATTTTATTTGTCAAAATAAATAAATTAACTAACCAAAAATCTAAATCTAATTTTGTTATGATTTTATGATTTTTGTTGATTAAAATAAAACTTATTAAAAAAGAATGTTAATTAAAATAAAATAAAGAAAATTAAAATGGGCCTACAAACAAGTAAAATGGGGGTGAGAAAGAAGTAAAATATAGGCCCAAACTGGACAGAGCTCGGGTTTGCGCTGAATCCAATGAGGATGATCTCAGGAGGTACACCGTGGTCCTGGCTGTCTGGAGCACTGGATCTGGAATCTTGAGATCTGATGGTCAAGATATGAGGTACACCATGCACGCCTTGGATTTGTTTCTATGGGATCTTCAAGGAAAATGTTAGAAAATAAAATGCCGGAGGCAGAGATCGAACCCCTGCCTTGGCATACCAAAGCCTTACTCACACACACGCTTGCCACTGAGGTGGCTGTTTCATCTGGTTATGAAATAGCACCCAATAAATATATTGTAAGCCAAGTCATGAGAATTTGAAAATGTCAGCTCATCCTTCTTCTTCCCTGCGCGCAAGCAGTAATAAGAACAACGTCATTGTTGATTTTGAAAATCTCCATTTCTCAACCAAATTGAAAACTTCCAAAATTAAACTTGCTTGATTTTTTACAAGGAATGCAACCGTATAAATTTTAAATGCTATAAATCAAAGGTTAGGACGGATTTTACTTGGTACCAAACTGAAACCCTAATGGTTTCGAAAACTCAAACCCAAAATTCTCACCACCTAGTCCATTAAAGCGAAAACTAAAGATATGGTTAGCTTCATATACATGATATCTACATTTTTTCTTTAGAATGTATATGCAAATGATACTTAAATAAGGATTTCAAAGTTTGAAAAATGTACCAATTTGGAGAAAGTTCAACGCTTCTTCAAGCACTTCCAGAAGCAAGATAATGATCTCTTTAGCTTGCTGGGACCTCCCTGAGTGTATTCCAGCCCCTACTTTGCTTTGAGGATGGCTGAAACATTCTACCCAAGTTAAGTTGCAAGGTTAGATTATGAGAATGGTGGATGATTATGGAGTGATTACAAAAGTAAAACAGGTATTTGGATCACTTTTATATGGTGTATTGATGATGATTTAATGGTTGGTTTGCAAAGATATTGCAGGAGTTATGAGTTTTGAAGTTTTGGACTTCAAAGCTCAATAATGGAGGTTTTATGACCAATTTGGATTTGGGAGAGTTTGAGAGGGTTTGAGGGCTTGTAAATTCGTGTCTTGGCTTGCAAATGAACCATATATTTATAGGCAAAGGTTAGAGGGATTGTGATGGTTGCAATCTGAAGATGTTAAGTTATGGCTTGCTTGGAGGTGAAATAACAAGTTATGGTGAAAATGATGGTTTTGAGGATCAAGTACAAGTGTGCTCTGATGCTTGTTGGGTGCAGGGAGGTTGCTTCTTCTCCTTAGGATGGAGTGTGATCAGAGGGAACAAATGAGAAGCTCAATGCATTGACTTTTGCAAAAAGCTTGCTTTATGTGAATGGTAATGGTGCTTTTGTGCCATTAATAGAAAATTATCTTGGATATAGCTTGAATCAAATGGATAATAGTCATAAATCAAGAGAAATCAACTTATTATGGAGAGATTTGTGGGTTTAGAGGCCTGCAGAGTAAGATATCTAAGCATGGTTATGAAATTTGATTATGTCTTCCTCAAAGAAATGACTTATAATCCAAGTAAAAATGCCCAACTTTGTCTCTGCGAAACTCTCAGCTCTAACATGATCTTTTCATACTCTTGGATGTTTTTGAAAGCTTGAATTAAGATCTTCAACTTTCATGATGACCATTTTGGCTAAAACAAAAGGGAAATTGGTGAAAATTGGCCAAGAAGTTGAGATGAAAAGCTGACCCAAAATGTTTCTAAGGGTTGGGTAAAAATATCAGAACTTCATGGGTCCATATCTCTTAATCCAAGAACTTTTTTAGAATTTATTAATCCCTACAACTTTCATGTTGAAAGTTTTCCTTAAATCAGTTTGTATCTTAGTGAAAATGGTCATAAAGTAGTGACTTTGTTAAGAACAAAACACTTAGAAAATTTTCTAAGTGTTGGAGAATTTTCCAACTTTGGACTTTTGTTGACTTTTTTTTATTCTTCATGATCAAACTTGAAAATTTTGATTGTTTTGATGATTCTTGATTTTTGAATTCCAATGTTGACCAAAAAGTCAAAGTTTGACTTTTGTGTGACTGTTGACTTTTTATCAATTGATTCAATTCTTCAATTATCAATCACTTGTATCTTTGGAAATGTCTTGAGCAATGTAATTAGGTCAAGATGTTGTATTTGAGCCCTTTAGATCATGCTTTAAACTATTAGGTCATGCACTAGGCCAGAAGTCAATGATCAGTCATCTTCAATCAAAACTCTAATTTGGTAATTTTTGACCTTTGATGATTTGAAGGCTTTCCTTGAGGAATCATGATCAACCCTTGATCAAATGATGAATATCAACTCAAAATGTTGATGTCGACAAAAAATATTGAAGATTGATTGTATGTTGACCATAATTGACTTTTTACCCAATATAGTTAACTTTCAATCTTCTGAGCCATTGATTG